GAAATTTCAGCTTTTTTAGGATGAGTTATGCATGCTGAACGTATGAACATCTGGCAGGAACTTATATACTTGCCATACCGTTTATATAAGCGAATTGCAAAGTTTTCCCCCCAGTCTGTTACTATTGAGCACTTTAGTTTTGTTGTACGTATGGTGTCCTAGCTGTATATGCAACAGAGTCGTTGAGTTTAGAATTGTGTTGTATTTCTAAAGTTAGTGATTCCATTATAGGCCAGGCACCATAGTGGTGGTTGGTATCACCCATGCAGTTAAAGTAGTATTATTTGGAAATAACCAAACCCACACATTGATCTATCCAGCCATTTTAGTATGGAAACTGGTCTATATTTAGCTGCCTTAGTGGAAAGCTAAAGATTTTGATTTGGTAATAACGGCCTTCTTCAGTTAAATTCAACCTTCTATCTAAATTGTGCACTTTGCCTAAGTAAATGTTCGCTTGACGACTAAGGCAATCAAACAAATGTAGTCCTTAAGTTAAGACTGCAATTTTCATTGCCAAATACCCCATTAAGCAATCTTTGAGAAACATCGCTGATATTATCAGCAAGCAAGTGGGACAGATCGATGCTGATCAGTTCGGAGGTCAAAAAACTGTCAATGAAATGTTCGCAATCATACATTGATCAACATGGAGTGGGCCACTTTATCGATGTAAAATTCTGGTTATGTAGATTATAGAATTGTTTGCATTACGTCTAATTGACTTTTTAATGGGCTCTGAACATTCCATTCGAATCATTGTTTCAATCCGGTTCTGTACCGAGTGCCCGTTATATTCAGAGACTCGTCTTGCGATTTCTTCGGGCTTCAGAACAACCGACAACTTCCACGTTGAAGGTGGTACCAAAAAGTGAAACAAGAGTGAGTACTTTCACAGCGAATCGAAGGACAAGCAATTACATAGGTATGGTGCCAGATTGCCTACGTTACTTACATACATCAGATCATTGCCTGTATGTCCGCATTGTACCTAATATAGTCATTCTTAGGATGAGCCGACTGATTGTTTTGACGCTGACCGTCACGATGCTGCAACCGGCACTGGCAAACAGGTGGGATGTGACCGACACCTCAATTTATTTCAATCAGTAACTGATAAAATAACGTCTTCCTAGTGTCTTTGAGACTCCATGGCGGTACGAATGCTTGCAGGGTTACTGCCAGAAACGGGAAAACACGGAAGCGACTCAAGGTTCAGCATTGAGCCTTGCGGCCTGCAGGTAAGAGACCCGTGCGAATCTGTCTTCCGCACCATGCGTGAGGATATAAAATAAACTTTTTCATGATAGGCTTTTTTGTGCGGAATCGGGGGGAATATGGCCAAAACCGAAAGGTGAGGTGACGATCGGCAACTTTTTGGCAACCATCAACGCAAACAGCATTGATATTCTGGGGGCCAAGTCGGAAACGCCCGCATTTGAGTTGGTGATGGGGGCTGGTCGAATTTTCCGTCAGCAAGTCGCCCAATTGCTGCCCAAGTAAGTCCCAGATAGCACAAAATATTACATACATATTTAGGAAATATTTATGTTTGCTAAATATTTCAGATCAAAAGCAAGTATTTCTTAAATATTATTTTTTAAATATTTGTTTCTAATATTTAATTAGCATGAAACAAATAAGTTATTAATAATTTTTTTAGTACATAATACTTTTTGTACCTATACAGGGTTATTCACGCTATACGGCACGGAAGTTTGCGGCTAAACCGTTTGATTTTTAAAAAGTATTATTTTATGAATTGTCCGACGCCTACCGAGCGCACATTTTAAAAATATTTTTGTAATGTACAGGGTGTCCCAAAAGCTCTAAAAATATCAAAGTTGGGTTTTTTAAAATGGAATGTCCTGTATATTATTGCATTTTTGGATTCGCTGAACAAAATAAGTGTCTGTTTTAATAAGGTTTATAACACTTAAATCTTAAGGTTTTTTAAATAATACGAATTTA